AAAGTATTACCATCTCTTTACAACGACTATTTAAATTCTTAAGTGACATTTTTGAAATAAAACACACTAATTTTTGTTCTAAAAAGAACAGATTTTATTAAATAGGTAAAAATATAAAACAAGAGGTATTCACTTTAAAATTCAAAATAATAAAGTACAAAAAGTGTCAACACCGCAACTGTCAAATAAGTGTTACCAATTTATGCCAAAATTTTACCTTCGTTCGATTACAGTTACAGTGTGTTCCGAACAAATGTTCTTGATAAAAACTCTTTATAATGGATTTATACAAATTAGATGAAACATATTATTGTGTATTTCTTTAAGTTAACATTAATAGAAATTTTTAAATATTATTTCTACGCGTATATAATAAAATATGCCTAGTGGCTGTAATGCCAGTGTACTCGGTAAAGTGATTCTAAAAAGAACACACCTAAACTCTAAATATTTCGTGTTGGTATCATATGACGTCACAGGCCATGACGACGATGACGTGCATCGTTATATAAATTAGATGAAGTGTACGTAACAATTAAATCTAAAGGTCGATTCACACACATCAGTCACGTCACAGTCACGGTACCGAACCGGTCCTGTTTGGTCACAGAACTATCAACTATCTGACAGCTGGCAAACTGTTCGTCAACTGATGAGTGTGAATGCCGGCGCCATATTTGTATTAAAGAATATTTTGTATGACGGATTGTTCGATTCGGCGCAATCACTGTGACGAGATGGTGACGAGACGTGACTGATGTGTCTGAATCGACCTTTAGACCGATATAATTATTAAATTATCATGTGTCTTCTAACAGGTATCTTATAGTTGTCTAACAAAATAAAGTAAAATTTTATTCTTATTAGAGAGGACCTAATACAGAACTTCAAAAAAAACAGAAAACTATGGAAAATACTTATTTTTTTCATTAGACTAAAAACAATCTGAAATTTTAACATACGATCTCGTCATTACACATCATTCATTATGTATAGAATTGCTGTGTGCTGTAAACGTTATATTTTTTTCCTTGTCTTTATTTGTTTATATAAACAAAAAATATATTATGAAGTTCATATAAATTAAAATGAAGTAAACTAAACTATTATCATGTGAATGCATTTATATAATAGTGCATTTGTTTATTTCAGTAAATTCTCGAAATATGAATGAAGATGGCACTAACTACTAAAGCGATAATAACTTTGTTAGAACAAGACTGAGATTGTGAAAATACCACTTAATGTGTTTTATTTGCCGCCGAGATTAGATTAGAAAGTTTCTGATGTAGAAGACATTGATCTTCTTCTTCTTCCTTCTAGTTTGTAGGTACTTCGTACTTTAAAGCCCGTTTCTTCTTCAATATTAGCTTCCTAAATTGTTTAAATTGTCGCACCATCTTTTTCTTGGTCTGCCAATACTTCTTCGTCCATTTGGTGACTTATCTCGTACTATTCGCACTATTCTATCCTCCGCCATTCTACTGATGTGTTTGTTCCACTTTTGTTTTCGTTTTGTCACCCATCCATTTATGTCTTCTATATTGCATTCTCTTCTTATGTTTTTGCTTCTGTCCCTATCCAACAGACTTCTCCTTGATATTCGTCGGAGTATTTTCATCTCTGTTGTTTCTAGCGGCCGTCTCGTTTTAGATGTGTCAGGTCTTAGGTGTTTGTTCTTCCAGATTGTGTCATTAGAGAACCCGCCGCTTTACTTGCTTTTAAGCTTTGCTGTCGTACTTCTTCAACATCTTCGTAACTATTTATATCTATTCCAGATATCTAAACCTTGCTTCCGGCTTTATTATTTTCCATCAATTTCGATTTTACACCGTAGTGGGTATTTAAATGTCATACATTTGGATTTTTCCGCTGATATTATCATATTGTATTTCTTAGATGTTGTATTGAAGATATGTGTTAATCTTTAGAGCTCGTCTTCTGTGTCGGCGATTAATGCGGCGTCGTCTGCATAACATAATATTTTAATTTGTTTGTTCCCAATTCTGTAGCCATGACTTTTACGTACTGCTATTATTATTTTGTCCATTAATATATTAAAGAGAAGTGGGGCTTAACGAGTCACCCTGTCTGATGGTTTATACTGGTATACACTGTGTTAGTTTTCCATTTATCTTTGCCTGTATTCGATTATGGAGGTAGATGCTTTCGATGGTTTGTATAATATTGATTGGTATGTTCCTTTTATACAGTAGGTGTAAGACGTCTTCGACTTGAATGCGATCGAAAGCCTTTGTCAGGTCTATAAAACATAGATATGATGGCCTTTTCTGTGATTTGTCTTAGTACAAATACGGCGTCTACGCAGGATCATCCGGATCTGAATCCTTATTGTTCGTCTGATAAAGTTGTTAGTTTATTGATTTTGTTGGTTAGGACTTTTGTGGTAAGCTTAAGTGCGGTGTTCAGTAGATTTATACCTCTATAATTGTTGGGGTCTTCTTTATCTCCTTTCTTGACCATTGGTATCATTATGCTGTTTCTCCATGCGTCTGGTATCTTGCAGTGCAATATTAGTTTTTGTATAAGTTTTGTCATCTCTAGGGTTAAACTTTCTCATCCGTATTTTAGAAGCTCGTTGGTTATTCCGTCTGGTCCTGGTGACTTTCTATTTTTGAGTGAATTTATGACTATTTCTATTTCGTGAAAACTGATTTCTATTTCGTCTCTTAGTTCAGGTACGTTATTGTGTTGATTATTATTTTCCTTTGCTTTAAACAGTTCCGTGAGGTATCTTTCCCATTCGTTTGCTGTTATATTATTAAATTCCTTGAAGAGATTGATGATATTATTTGTGAAGAATCGATAAAATCGGATATTGCAGGTACATATGAAATACAACTAATTGGGAATTCTAACAATTCTGATTATGATATTCCTCTGAACCACAGATAAAACGTCCAAAGAAAAAACCAGGCAAAAATAGTAAATCCAAATTTATCTCAAGTTGTAATAACGGATATTCTTTCGTGCTCAGTAGTAATTCAACATCAGTCTGATTGATATTTAGACAATATAATAGCACAACCATGTAAGCAAGTTATATATTGAAGTTTTTTCACTCTTTTTGATAAAAAAGTAATTGAGAATAACCGTCACAATTTTGAAATGAATAACATAGATTAAAAAAATTATTAGCTATGTATATTATCTGGTTTACACTCTGCTTCAAGTTGATATGCGTTGGTCAAAGGATGAGGATAAAGAAGTGCATATTATAAGAGAAAGTATGAGCCGACATAGATTTATAATTTTAATTTATAATAGTGAAGAAACCGCTACATCAGTGTCAGTACATGGGCGTCAATCTAAAATTTGCTTTACCAGATGAAACCAGACTCGACAATATTGGCCACATTATAAAAAGAGACGATAGTGAAAAAATGTAGGATGTACAAAAGTAATACTATTTATTTTTGTAAAAAGTGTAGAATGCATCTACACCCCGAATATTTCGAAAATTTTTACCTTAAAATTTAATTTACGTTTAAGATACAATATGTTCCGTTAATAAAAATTGTACTGTTTTCCTTAAAATGAGAAAAAAAAATCTTTTTGGTTGTAATTTATTCCTAATTTGTGTTTTTAATCCAATCTAATAAATTAATTATCAAATTTCCCTTTGTGTATTGAGCGGCCGTTAAGGGTTTAATACTATATAAAGAATAAACTGGTCTCAAATTTACTTTACTTACCTCAAAACTATAAGTTAATAATAAAGTATATTTAATAAATATATTCCCAATAATACACTACGCCTATGCACATATGTATAAAATCTGGAAGATATCATATTTCATAAACTTCAATATAACTAAGATATCATATTTCTCTAATTAACATTATTTCTAAAAATGTAAATATATATAGACCAGCAAAATATTGATAATTTTACCGATGTTCCAAACTATTCTATGAACTTGTGTCACTATACACTCGTGAATCGCACCAATTTATATTGTTACGGGGGCAAATTTATCTTACATGGATTACAAATTTACATATTTACATGGGCGAGGCATACACAATAAAAATGACCCCGGTAAGAATTTACTAATGAAATTTTTCATGGTTGCCGCTACCGTTTAGTTCAATTTGTAGATTAGTAACCTTTAATTGAAAATTGTCCGACTATAGTAACGAAATAGTCCGCAAGAGGCGCTAAAAGGTATGTATGTAAGGGGTGTCCATTTGAATTTCCCTCCAAAAGATGATTAGTAATGACCCCAACCGCAAGGGGTTCTCATGAACGAAATTTATACATTAAGTTGCCTATCCATTTCTAATATTATAGTATTTATATATTATTTATCTATGGGAATGTTCAAGGTCATGCATATAAGTTTCTGGGGCATGGTCCAGACTTTTTGACGTTTTTATAAACCAAGAAAATCAATACAATGTTCAATATTATCAAAATTCATAACAATTCTCAAAATATTTACATGAAAAATAAATTGCACATACTTTTGGTACTAAGATATACAGATATGATGAGCAGTACCGAGAGACTAAAAGGAAGTATAATAGGTCAATGGCAAACTTAAAGAAAGATTTTTACACACCTAAAATAATCACAATAATAATTTACAAATATATCATTTAGATGGCAAGGTTCTGAAACTACTTCTTTGTGGCATTTCTAATTTAAATATTATGTTTATATGGGATTAAGCCACAGTTATTGATTATACCTAATGTTCTCATTGTACCTTAGCTCACATTTTGAGCTAACTAGTATTTGACGTTTCGACTTCCACTCTAGAAATCGTCCTCAAAAAGTTTATTATAAAAATTCTGTGAAAATGTTCGGTTTTCTTCTGTTGATGGTCAATTTTATTATTAATATTATTACAAAATACGTAAATGGTTACTTTACAAGAAGATGTATATATTTATGAAATTTGCACTTTAATTGTAACACTTAATTTGTACTTTAATTACATAGAAATAATAAATATTTACCCATACATTTTTAGATTGAGGCCAGGCACCAGTTTGATGGCACTGTATGGAACATTGCATCAGCTTCGCAGGATGGCTATTTATGAAAATTTTTGCCGTAAACAATCAGCAATATTATTTTGTACTGATTTGGCTGCAAGAGGACTCGATTTTCCTGAAGTGCACTGGGTCGTTCAAGTAGATTGTCCCGAAGATCCGGAAACTTACATTCACAGGGTTGGTAGAACAGCCAGGTATCACAGGGGAGGGGAGAGTTTACTTATGCTACTGCCTAGTGAAGTAAAGATGGTAGAGAAACTTACCGAAAAGAAAATACCAATAGAGAAGATTGAGTAAGTTATAATAATAAAATATTTACTTATTAGCAAAACCTCAACAGTAACAAAAAAAGTATATCTATCTAACCCTTGTGTTGCCAACCAAATAAATTTACACTATTGGCCAACCGGTGTACCCGGTACCGGTGTAGTTTTTATGTAAAATTCCGCATTAACTTAGAATTATCTTATACATTAGATGTATACTGATTTATTTATGATTAATGAAGATATTCTGAGTGAAATAAAATTGAAGAATTACATATGAATAGCTTTTATTCTTCTTAAAGTGCCCTCTCCTCAATGGAGGTTGGCTACTACAATTTTAAACTCTTCTCTATCTTCAGCTGTTCTTATTAGCTGTTCAAAATTTAGCCCTGTCCATTGTCGGATGTTTCTGAGCCATGATAGTCTTTTCCTTCCTAGGCCTCTCTTTCCCTCGATTTTTCCTTTCACTATAAGTTGGGCATATTGGTACTTATTATTTCTCAGTATGTGGCCTAGGTATGATGTTTTTCTTACTTTTACTGTGTTAAAAAGTTCTCTTTCCTTGCCTATTCTATGCAGCACTTCTTCGTTTGAGGTATGCGATGTCCATGAAATTTTGAGTATTCTCCGGTAGATCCACATTTCAAAGGCCTCCAATTTATTTACGGTTGATGTTTTAAGGGTCCACGTTTCAACTGCATATAGAAGAGTCGACCAGACGTAGCATTTTGATAAACGTAGTCGAATTTCGAGTTTTATTCGAGAATCACAAAGCAGTTTTTTTATTTTTTCGAAAGATTTTCTAGCCTGTTCTATTCTCGATCTTATTTCTTGATCAGGATTTAGGCTGCTATCGATCCAACATCCCAGGTACTTAAATCTATTGACCTGTTCTAAGATGTGCCCATTTATTGTGCAAGGTTGAGGTACGTTTTGGTTTTTTCGGATTGACATCACTTTGGTTTTTTTAATGTTTATTTTCATACCAAATTGCTCACAGGTCGAGTTGGTCTTGTCGATGAGTCGTTGTAGACCTGAGTCGGAATCCGCAATTAACACTGTATCATCGGCGTATCTGATACTGTTGATATTTACGCCATTCACCTTGACTCCATCCTTGGAATCCTCCAATGCTTCTTTAAATAGAAACTCGGAGTAAAGATTAAACAGCAGAGGCGACAGAACACATCCCTGTCTAACTCCCCTCCTAATTTCTACTTCTGCGGATGTGGAACCTTCGATCCTAACTCTGGCTTTTTGGTTCCAGTACAAGTTTTTTAAGAATTTGATGTCTTTTCCATCTAAACCGACTTCTTGCAAACGTTCTAATAGTAGGTCGTGTCTTACTCTATCAAATGCTTTTTCGAAGTCTATAAAGCATATAAATGTATCTTTCTGTTGGTCGTAGCATTTTTGGGCGAGAACTAGTAAACTGAACAGGGCTTCTCTCGTTCCCATGCCGGCTCTGAATCCAAACTGATCGTCTCCGATGATTGTTTCGCACTTTCTATAGATACGATTATGTACGATTTTTAGTAGGACTTTTACTACATGACTCATAAGGCTTATCAAACGGAACTCATTGCAGTGTTGTGGGTTTGGCTTTTTTGGTAGTGGGATGAATATTGACTCCAGCCAATCTTGGGGTATTTTACTTGTATCATAAATACGATTGAATAAAAGGACAAATAATTCGATATTTTCTTCGCTGATTAATTTGAGCGTTTCTGGGTATATTCCGTCTGGACCTGGGCTTTTATTTGTTTTGAGATGGTTAATTGCATTTATGATTTCAGATTTCAGAATTGTTGGCCCTTCGTTGTTATTTTCCAATCTTGGTTCTTCTCGTATGTCGTGAAAAAGAATTTTAATATAGTTTTCCCATTCTTTCAGTTTATCTTCCGTTGATTCTAGCAGTTTGTCATCCGTGTTCAGCATGGTGTGAAAAGTCGTTCTCTTGGTAGTCGATGTAAACTCTTTTACCTTTTTTATGTAAATTAAAAAAATCGTGCCTTTGTTGCAGTTCTTCTATTTCAACGCATTTTGTTTCCAGCCATTTCTCTTTTGCTTCGGTTATTTTTTTTCGAATTATTCTATTTAGTCTTTTGTATTCTACGTCCTTGTCATTTTTTCCTTTAGATTCTCTTCGTTTGTTCATTAATTGTAAAATCTCTTCTGTCATCCATTCCTGTTTGTTATTTCTAGGTGTTACTTTTAGATGTTTTTCCGTTACATTGTTCATTTGTTCTTTAATAGTTTTCCACAGAACGTTTATGTCATCGTACTCGCTAATTCTATTGTGGTCGATATTTCCTAAATTTTTGTTTAATTCTTTATTTACTGTCTTATGTATGGTGTCGTTTTTCAATATTTGGATGTCTAATAGTTGGTGTGGAGGTTTTTGTTTCTTTATTAGTTTCCATCTTGCGCGAACTTTTGCAACAACAGGATTATGATCGGAATTGATGTCAGTTCCAGGATATGTTTTTGCACTGATGATTGCATTGTGATATCTTTTGTTGACCAATATGTAATCTATTTGGTTACGGATTACTCTGTTTTCATTGTGTTGTGGTGAAGTCCAAGTGTACAATCTGCGAGGGTGTAATTTAAACCATGTATTTGTCACTACCATGTTGTGTTGTTGGCAGAATTCGGTCATTCTCTCTCCCCTGTCGTTCCTTGCTCCAAGTCCGAAGTTTCCGATCAATCCAGAAACTTTTCCTCTACCTAACTTAGCATTAAAGTCACCTAAGATAAATGTTAGGTCTCGTTTTTTGGTCATCTTTATTAGTTTTTCTACGTCAGCATACCACGCTTCTAGCTCTTCTATGGGTTTATCGGCCGTAGGGGCATAAGTTTGAATGATGTTAATATTTACTGGCTTTCCGGATAGTTGAATAAGAAGACATCGGTCCGAAAATGGCACAAAGTTTGTGACGGCATGGTTATATTTGTCTTCTAAAATTACTCCAACCCCGTTACGATGAACCGGATCGTTATTACCCGAGTAATAGAAAGTTTTGTTCATGGTTTTAACTTTACCTGAACCTGACCATTTAACTTCACTCAAACCCAATATCTGCAACCCTAAACGTTTCATTTCGTGGCATGCATTTGCTAGATTTCCTGTTTCGAACAGACTTCTAACGTTCCATGTTGCAATCTTAAAGTTTGTATTTAAAATATTTAGGCTATTTCTCCCGGGGATTCTTCGCACCCCTTGATCATCTAAGATCTGCCGGGGACTAGGGGCCAATTCTGTTTGTGCTTTCATTGTAGTTTTCTTGGGAAATATATACCAGAGTGGTTTCCCGTTGCCTTCTCTGGTTTGTATTTTAGCCGATCCTCTGGACACAGACGCTATTTGCAGCCGCCCACTCTGGGTCAGACGCTGCGTGCTAGTTTGATCCCTACCACTTACCAGCTCATCCGCCCGAAGCCGTTGGACAGCAAGTGGGAGATCGCTTATACCGGCAATTGCTAGGTAAATATTTTCGCCATATCTGGCTACCCTCACTTAGTTTAGCCTGCAGACCAATGCAGTTGCCCGGGGTGTGGAACGTGGAGCCATAAGTGAGAGTTAGTTGTCTTATGAGGACCAGTTAGCAAGAACCATCTCCCGTCTATGACGCTCGATGTGGTCGTTCCGATAAAAGGTGCTACCTCTATAACACAACTCTACACCCCGACACTTTTATAGTCAAGTATTAAACGCCGACAACTTTTTCCTGTTGGGTAATTTTATTTCTCTCGATAAAGAGTCTCTAAATTCCACCTACTTTTATACCTGAGAAACCTTTAAAACAACCATACACATTTGAAAAGCAGTTTAGGTTAGGTCGTTTTGACCACTTGGATGAGTAAGACGTGTAGTGTAGTAAGTACAGCTACGCATAGTAAGTAAGTTTTAATATTTTCATGTACCTGTGTGTTACCTGTTTCCTATGTCTGCCATACACAAGAACCGGTAGATCATTATGGTGAGAACGAATCTGAGGAGGAGAGTAAAGATATGGCTGTTGAACCATTGCACGAACAGCTTTTGATAAAGCTTCACCAGTTGCTGATGTTTGGAATATGCTTAATACAAACTTGGCTATAAACTATCCATATTATTATTAATGTGAAGAAATATTGTACCACTAGACCAATTTCATCGAAAAGCTGTTTAATGATGAAAGAAAATAACTGCCATTAGAAACCATAGAGGATACCTAACCACCAATATTACGGGAAGAAATCATCACAGAACAATAGCTTTAATGAGTCACACACTTAAAACGTTTTTGAAAATAATACACAGCAGAATTGTTAAAACCCTTACATATGAAATTAAACACACAATTTGGCTTTGGAAATGCATGGACATGAATCAGGACATGTACTTTGTTTTGTAGATTTCGAAAAGGCATTTGTTAAGGTTCAACATAAATAGCTTGTACATATATTAAAAGCAAAGATATTAACAGTCATGATATGACAGTTATATGTAATCTATATTCGAATCAAACTGCCAAGGCAAGAGTTGAGAACCAGAACATCCAAGACATCAAAATACAGATAGATGTCTACAGTGAAGCGGTATTTAAAGAAGTGCTCTCAGATTCAATAGAAATATCTATCAATGGAGAAGTTTTGAATAACTTGCGTTTTGCAGAAGATACAGTAATAATGACGGATAACAACAATGATTTAAGAACGCAATATAATGACTTGATGAATGCTGTCATGAATACGGACTAAGCATGAAGTTGAAAAAAAACTAAATGCATGATCATGACCAAATCAGCAGATGCAAACATCCAATTTATTGTTGAAGATACTGTAATTGAGAGTGTGTATACCTACAAGTACTTAGGAACATTGATAAAATCAAATGCAGACCAAACAAAAGAAATTAAGACACGCATTGAAATAGTACGTGCATCTTCGTTAAACTTAAAACGTTTCTTTGTTGTCGGTATGTCAGGTTAGGACAACGCCTAAGGATGCTTTAGTGTTACGTATTCACTACTCTTAGGAAGCATGGATATTAAAACAAGTGCATCTGAATAGGTTGGCCGCCTTTGAATTTTGGTGTTATAGAAGAATCTTAAGAATATTATGAACTCAAAGAATGTTAAACGCAGAAGTTACTAGAAGAATAGGAGATGAAGCTGAAATAATATTGACTACCAAAATTCGAGGAAGTCTGTTTCAAAGGATCTGGTCAAAAGTCAAAACATAAGTGTGGATAGATTTTTCATAACTTTGCCTTTAGCTAAAGCTTTTCTTTCGTAGAAACTTACTATCATTGGCGTTTTGAAAAAAAAAAACAAGCCATAAATTCCTCAAGAAATGAAAGCTTCGTAAATAAGAGGATCCTTGTCAACTCTTTGGCTTTCATAAAAAAGTTGCAATATGTTCCTATGTACCGAAGAAAAACAAAGCTGTGATTTTACTCAGTTCGATGCACCATGATAATAATACGTCTAATGCAGTAGATAAAAACCAGAAATGATTTTGTTTTATAATCGATACAAAACTGGTGTTGATACAATAAATCAAATGCGCGCGAGATACACTACGCAACGGCGAACTTGCAGGTGACCACTTGGTTCTTTCTACAATATTCTCGACATCTCGTCTTTTGCTTCTTATACTGTTTAATACGAAAATAATAAAATGATACCAAAGAAAACGAACTAAAGAAGACTTTTTGCAACAGCTTTTTATGCATTTAATTTTTTTGCGTTTATTGAAGAGCGAGCTTCAAATCAGCAGGTAGCGATTGAAACTTATTACGATAAGCCAATTGTAGCTCAATAAATTAATGATAATCAACCACGAGACAACACTGGAAGAAAACTTGTTAGATCGTGCTACAATTGTCACAAGTCACATATTTGCAAACGAAGAAAGATCAGAAAGTGCTGTCGTGAATGCCAAAAGCCAGTCTTCGATGAGCATACTCAAAATATCAAACGGTATAGGATGTAGTCATTAATTTGGTTTTGTTATGGATTTCTTAAAAAAAGATTGTATTTTTATTTTTGGTATACAATTTTGGTATATTTTTCGGTAATAGCAGCTATCGGGGGAAATAAGAATTCCTCTAGAAACAAAAATAATTCATTGGTTTTATATCATATAGAACAAATACTAATCAGAACCATGCTAAAGTTGTCATCGCTATAATAATTTGAGGTTTCTAGTCCCACAGAACACGTCATATTATTTAAAAATTTTGTTTTGGAGAGGCAACGGAATAGTAGTTTCGGTGACTTTCCCTTGATTTTTGTAGGTGAATAATTCTTTCCGAAGTTAGAAAGGATCTAAAAGCACCAAGATCAGTTTCCACCTTAGTTTTACCAATTCCATAGGCATCATTAAATTCTAAAAGGACTTTTCGTAGATCTTCAGTCTTAGTGGGAAGTCCTTCGGAAGCCAAAATGAGTTTAACGCTTGTGTTGGTGAATCCTGCATAACATGCTGAAGCAGGTTGGTCGTGTAGAAAAGCAAGATGTAGTTTAATGGCTTTCAAGATACCCGGTTCCCTTAATCTTGCTAGAAGATATCAAATGTTCGAGTTATTGGTTAATCTAACTCTTGGTGGGGTCAAAGCATCCAGATTTATCGATGGTTCCAAAGTATCCTTCTTAATGAAGTTAATATGAAAATGAAAAGCATTCTTTGATTTGCAAATTTCGATGGCCTGCTTGTCTGTGACTATTTTTGTATTTTCCACTTCACTTTTGTTGTTGCTTAAACTTGATCCACCTGGCGGTCATTTGCCATTAAATTTAGTCCCGATGATCAATTTTTGTAGACCATCTGTTTTTATCTGAGGTAGGGCTGATTTATTTTTGTTAAAAGTCTTGTATTGAACTTTAGTTGCTTTATAATGAAAATGTTGATGCGGAGCTCTGTGTACGATATTTGCAACATTTTTTATACATCGATATCTCAAAGACATCTATTTTTCTTTGTTTGATATTTTTACTTCCATGTCTCTGGTGCATATGTGGCAAAGAAAATTTTAGTTTAGTTTATTAAGTTTAAGTATCTAAAGTCTCTAATAATCAACAACTATTAAGACATCCTTATGTTGTATGTAGGATTTAACTTATATTTTGGTAATATGGTCGCTGTCAGTTTCGTTTGTCCATGACCGTAAGAAAGCTAGAAAGCCCAGTATGTACGATACTTTTTCTACTATTTTAAAATTTTTCTTCAGGATACGTTACAATATTGAAAGCCGATTCCATCCCACACTTGCGTTTTTTTTTTATAAGTATTGTTAATATGTCCAAATCTCAACTTGACTCAAAAATGCTCTAACAAGTAACATAGTTAATGTTTGCTTTGTTGTATGATATATCTATTATATGTTCATTTCTTATATTATCCAACCCTGTACATACTTTATATTTTAATTTGAAATTTAATTACAGAATTAACCAGTGAAATTAAATAATCCTGTTAGAAAAATGGAAGCTTTTCTGGCAAAGGAACCGTCCTTAAAGGATTCTGCTCAACGAGCCTTCGTTTCATATGTTAAGGCAGTATTTCTAATGAAAGATAAAGAAATATTTGATGCTCAAGCATTAGACACAGATTCGTTTGCGAAATCATTAGGTCTAGCAATACCACCTAGAATAAGATTTTTACAAAGGATGAATGCCAGATTGAAAAAGCAGAAAGAAGGGAAACAAATTAGTGGCCTCGTTAATAATCATCAAAATAGTAAAAAATATTTTGATAATGATAGTGATAATGAGGTAAATACTAATAAACAAATAAGAGATGATTCAGATGACAGTAATGTGAGTGAAGGTGATGATACCCTTAAAGCGAGTTCTGCATCAAATCCATTCCAGCTGTCAGATAACGAGAGTGACAATGAAGATGACAACATTTTTACGGTAAAAAGAACTGATCATGATATTGAACTACCTACAGAGAAGGAAATGGCTGATTTACACATAGGCAGAAGTAAAAACAAAAAACCTGTTAGTAAAGCTGCAGCTGCCAAAAAAATATTGAAGAAACAAATAGTACCTAACAAGAAGATAGTCTTTAACGAAGATGGAGAAGCACTGCAAAGTTCGAAATCGAAAAAGTCGGAACTAGCCCAGCAGTATGAAGACGAGGATGAAGGTGGAATTGACATTGAAAAGGCTAAACAGGTTAGTGTACTTATTTTATATTATGATAGTATAGGGGTAGTGTATGGTGATTTATACTTACGTCGATTTTTGTAGATTTCTAAAATGGAATAATTCATACACATATACATATTTACCCACATCTTTAAATTTTTCTTAAAAGTTTTTCTATACTACACATAAATATTAAAGGGACTTGGTCAACTCCTGATCAAAAGTACATGTTTGTTTATTTTCTACATTGTATATGGTCCAATGCAGTTTTTGTTAAATCATTGTTTATTTTTGTAGGTGTTACGAGAAGAGGATAAGTTTGATAAACAGTTGTTCAAAGAAAAAGTGAAGGCCAAACACAAAGAAGAAAAAAGAAAATTAAAGGAAAAGAAGAAAATGGAGGAGGAGGAAGTACGTGACCACTTTGGCGATAGTGATAGTGAAGGAGATGAACCAGATCTGTCTTGGTTACCAGATCCTAATAAAGTTTATGGTGAAAAAAAGCAAGAAGAAATTGATCAATTGGGGGATAATTTTAAGGAAGACCATGATAAGAGATCTGCCACGAAGACGTCAAATAAAAACCAAGAAAAAGGGTAAGGGTAAAGGTAATTAATTTACGGCCATGTGTATTTATTGTTTAATTGATATTTTAGAGCGAAAAAGAGAAAAGCTGAACAAGAACCGGATAAGAAAAAGAAAGTTAATAATAAGAAGCAAAAAATAAAAGAGATAAGTTCCAAACTTTCTGTAAATGAAGCTGAAGAATTGGCGATGTTGTTGTTAAATAAGAATTAATATATTTGTATAAAAGTACTTATTATTGTTTTAATATGAATTGAACTATGTTATTAATCTATATTAAAATAGATAATAAATGGGAAACAATTGAAAACTATGGGAAGAGTGAATTCCGATTTTATGGTATCAGATGACACGATTATTAAATGATACAATTAATATATCGGAGATGTTTATAAGAACGATTTTTTTATTGATTTATCGAGAACCTTAATTAAATCCAAGAAATGAACTCTTTATGTTATATTTTATTACTTTAATCTCGCTGTGTGTAATACATGGCTAGAATACAAAAGAGATGTGAGGAATAACGGTATTATAGACAAGGATGAGCTTGACCTATTATAGTTGCCAATAAATTATTGCAGAAAACCTTATCTTAAGCATATTACAAAGTCATTTGTATTTGAGTGGTGTCGTTAAGTTTCGAGAGGTGTCTACCACAAACAAATAGTCCAGTCACAGATGAACACAATGCTATTACTTCTTGCTTTTGTTAGTAATCTCACCAAATAGAAACGACTTTATAATGGCATGCAGATAATAAATTCTACAATAATTTGGTGGCGATTACACTTTATTTTTAGCATTGCAAAAGCCGTGACTTTTTCACGATTTGCAAAACAAAATAAGCGTGTTGAGTTGATAGTAGACCTCGATGAAGCCCAACTAGCAACCCGCAAATAAGATCAAAAAAATTGTACGACTCTTCGACACATCATGGATATTCGATATGACGGCGTTGGTCACTGGCCTTCTTTAGGATATGAACAGTGGTATAATCTGGAGCAATATACAAAGACCAAGGATAAAATGGTCCAAGGTAAAAAGTGTAATCTTCTTCTGTGTTTAATCAATAGGAGGAATTATTTAAAAACATTTCACGTAAAATGATTAATATAATATTGTTTTGTATTTGTCTTTTTTATTTCATTGTGACCTACAGTTGAGTCTGTTATTAAGTAAAGCCTGTTATTAAGTAAAGAGAAATCTTATTTTTATGAACGCTCTAGACTCAGTACATTGAAAAGAGATAGGTACAAAAAAGACGCTTGGGGACGTTTTTAGATTTTAAGTACAATTTGTGACGTTTCTGGTTTGTCTATTTGTGGTTGTCAGTTTGTTGGATTCTTTGTCAGTAGAGGGCAAATGAGAGTTCTAGCCGCACCGTTCGTATAACCCCCACCGCCCCCCCACCATTATTATACCCCCCTCCAATGGTGAGTTAAGAGGTGAGAGTTCTAGCCGCACCGCCCGTATACCCCCCACCACCGATTCCCACCCTTTTGTATACCCCCACCACACCTCATACCCCCCACCACTGACAAGGTCAACGACCGGTCAAGGGGTCAACGACCGGTAAACGGGTCAAGGTCAAGGGGTCAATGAACGGTCAAGGTTAATGGTCAAGGGGATAATAAACGGTCAATAAACGTTCAATGGCCGTTACACACGAACGATTAAAATATACATTACCAGTGAAAGGTATTTAGAAACAATAGTAATAGATAACGTTGTTTTCATAAGGTAAAAAACAAGAAGTAAATATTCCATATTTATTTTATGTAATACATTTATGACATTGGTATTTGTATGGTAGGTAAGTGTTAAATAGCGAGATTGGATAGTGCTCCAAACAAGGTAGCTTCATTTGGATGACTTCATTACGTCGAATATGTGGTGGAAGTTCATTCCATTTATCCAATAGATCAGACCCATCAACATGATTCAGAAGGTACCACGCCGGAAATCATTCTAACGTTTGTTAAATAAACAAAAATTTTTACGGCGAAGATAATGATCCGTTATCACTTGTTCTAATAAAGGATCGTGTTGAATAAGATTTAGAATACAAATATAGCAGTCGCTGACGGAAGGTGGGTACATCACTCCATCAAAGGTGGAAGGCCAATGATTAAAACAGCGAGTAATTTTCGTTAGAATATGTGGATCATTTTTCACTTCATCTGGCAGTTTATGTTCAATACCTCGTAACTCTGACGCTTTCATATACCGGAGATATTGTAATGGAAAATCTCGTAATTCTTCGAAAGAAAATGCGCTCAATGGAACAGCAGGAAAGTGTTTATGTAAGAAGTCATGTTGAATACTGTTTGATTACATGTAAAATATTACCGCAAGAATAACTGGTTATACCCCCCACTCACAGATACCTCCCTCTTACTGATACCCACTGAGACCCCCCACTTACTAGACATAAATGATATAAGGTAGGATGACCTGTATATCGAGTTAGTAAACATGTCTCAATACGACTTTAGTGATAACACACCCGTTCAAAAATATCGCGTAGAAAATAAAAAAGATGTAATAATAGGAGAAAAAAGTTTTCAGTTAAACAGATCGAGAAGCAAATTTGTGTCTATTGGGTTAAAGTACGGTGCGGAGTGTACACCAGTGATATCACTATATGGAAATCAAGGACAACGAGTAGTATTCACGGAAGAAGATTGGAAAGAATTTTTATACTACCAAGGAGTAATTACAAATTATCTGTACACGGTAGAAAGCAGCGAGTCTATAAGAAGAAAAAGCTATAGTATAGAATTTGAAAAGGTACTGGAAGCAAAAGTAATAAAGATATCACAAAGTAACTCCTACATATATTTAGGATATGAAACCATCTGTAAATTATGGGAGGTGTTAGCGCTTATACAACATCATATTAGCCATTTGAAACAAGGAAATTTCTCGGAATATTTAAGGCTGTTTTATCGGTGCACCAAAATTTTTTCTCTGTTATTTACCGACGAAATGTCTCGAAATTTGGACATGTTATACGAAATTATGTTGCCTTTAAACTGATGGTTTTACTTTTTTATTTTTTTGAATTTTCTGTTGAAAAATTGGATTATACTGTTTAACGTTCTATTATAACCAAACTACTTTTCACCCCCATCAGTTGAAAGAGTTTTTTTTTCTGTAATCGTTGATTCTTTTTTCACCTTTCTGTGTCCAGTAATAATCGAGAAAAGCGTATTCAAACTTTGAAGAAAATTGCTAAAAAATACTGAAATCTAATAGTGAAACGTGTTCCTCATCATTGTCGCTGAGCTTGATCGTTATCGCATTAGTGACGTCAAATCTCATGAGCGTACGGTACGGTCTTATTTTTATTTCTCTATGGGTACGGTCAGTTAGTTCGCTTGAATTAGAATCCATTTTAGTTCTTTCATTCTTGTATTTTCTTTATCAACTTGCTTAGTTTTTACAGTTTACAGTATTCTTATTTATTTTGAAAACATTGAAATTATTTAGTTTACGTGTATGTTAAGTAATATATTATTAGTTTAGTGGTATAAGTTAAAAGTTCTTTAGTTTACGCGTATTTTTAAGTATTACATTAGGTTATTGATATAAGTTATAAGAGACAAGATAAAAAATGAGTCCCAGTAAACGTCCTATGTCAAGAAAAAGGAGAGCAATTGCACTGCTTTAGTATTTATTATTTATATTACAACCGTTTTTAAAAGCTTTTTATTTAACTTGACCGAAGAGGACCAGTGGGAAGACGATCCAGAGGAAGACCAAAACTTAGGTATCAAGATAACATAGAGGATGATCTAAAATCCATCGGAGTTAAAGCATGGAGAAAGTTGTCAGAGGCAGGGGCGAATGGAAGATTGTTCTGAAGAAGCCTTAGGCTCATGACGAGCTGTAATGCCACTAATATGATGAAATAACTATCCACGATTTGTGTTTTATTCATCAATTGGATACTTTTCTTATGTAACTGCAACCTATAAATATATTAAAATAATGTATATTCCATTCAGAAAACATTTTCCTCGCATTGCGTCGCCTCGAAATACTTGCCAGATAAATACATTTACTATTATGATGGTTTCGCAGGTACCAATTTTTTATAGATAAATAAAAATATTTTTGTTTAATTTTTACTACGCTAATATCAGTTTTCTCTAACAAATATTAACAAAATATTAATTATATATTAATATTAATATAACAAAATTTAAATTTATTATAAATAAACACCATGGTGTTTTTTGCAGTCACGTTTCACAAATTTTTATTTAATACTATGTTTAGCTAAGACATATAAATTAAAAATGTGATTAATTCTTTTTAAAACATTATCTACGATAATTAATCTAAAAAAAAGTATTCCGACAAAACTAATTTGAATGGAGAATAATGCATTTATTTTAAACAACCCGTGGGCCGGCGCCACTGAATAAACATCCAAACTATTAGGAAGTCACGTAGGGTCTGACATAGCAGTGTAGAAAAGTAAGTGATACGCCCACTTCAAATCGCAGTATGCTATAACTGCGAAAACAGCCTTAAAGAGTATATACCACGATTACAAAACAACAAAGGTGATTTTTACGAAAACGTGTTAAGAAGTGTCAACGCAAACACTCAAGTTTGCTTTGAAGATATAAGTAATATTTTGGAATTGGTGTACGTGTATCCAGAAGCATTAAAAGATGTCTGCACAAACGGGAAAAAGAGTAACTTTTAATGATCATCTTAACAAAACGCATGTTCTACGACTTTGGAACCACGCATATCGTCAAGCACGACAAAAGTATTGGGAAATATTTGTAATAGATTTAATAAGGTTTAAAAAAAGAATCGAAGAAACTTCGAAAATAATATCACCCATTTTAAATATAAATCATAGAATTTTTGTATACAATAGTAGGTTTTAAATAAATATTAAATCACAAAAGTTTTTTATTTTAAAAATTTATTAAATACAAAATGTTTAACATATCTAATAATTTCATTAAAAAGTAAAAAAGTAACACAAATAACTAAATACCAGGATAAACAAATATTTGGCAGATAATCCCCACCAACTTGAGTAGCAGCAGAAGAGATGTAGAGCTGACGCCATTCTGTTTCATCATTAAGGTAATTGGGGAAAGGTAATCGTAGTTTGTACACTGTACTGTTATATGGTATATAGGCGAATCTAAGATCTACCCCATTTAGCTTATAAAGACTCA